GAAGTTCGCACATTGACTTTTCGCCAGCAATGGTAAAGATTGTAACACCCTTAATTAAATAATTTTAATATAACGTAAAAATCTCTAGATTCTCCAATGTGGGAAACCGACATACGTTACCGTTTCTCTTTCTACTTCGGCGGAGCGACTGATCCCTTCACCAGTGCCTATGGCCGTGAACCCAGTGGACGACTTGGAGAAGCAGCGTTGTGGTGGTTGAATGACCTTCAGCCCTATCGACCCTCGTTGACACGATTGCTAGCCTGGTTCGATCTGGCCAGCGCGCACGAAGCCAAATACTTGATATGTGCATTCGGTTCCTTTCAGAGTCGACACCCGAAAACGCCCTACCATTCTAAATGCATTCCTGACGATGGCTCAGATAGCGGGCTGCAATTCATTTTGATGCTGGTAGCGTTTCTTGCGCTAGGTGCGAGGAAAGTTGAGAATTACAGGGCAATCGACATTTGCCTGGCATGCATTCTTCAATTGAGTTCGTAGATCACCATGCTGTTGACGAAGATAAACACAGGCTGCAGCCGGGGAGAACGCCTGACTACCACACAAGGCGCCACAATAATATGATACAGTTGACTGTTGACGAAGATTGACGAAGATAAACACTGACATCAGGGAGGACGCCTGTCACAAGCTGTTCTTGCTGTTCGACGAGCAAGAGTCCTCGCCAAGCCTCGGGACACGACCAAACTTCATCGAGCAGGAGCCAAGGACTGTCGTACGGCGCCTGACTGGACAGTGACTGGAAGGTAAGGGGAGCAACCCTGGGCCGTATCACTGACTGCGAAATGTACGTGTGGTTTATGCCATGGGAAGCTATATCAGACGCATTCATTGTAGGCAAGATGTCGACAGGTTGCCTCTACGCAGAGTAGATATGGGGCGGAAGCAAAAACCCTGGGGAAACCTTTCTTGAAATTGTCTGCGTGAATGGTTTAGTATCAGATGCTACCACACGGTTTTATGTGAAGGTAGACTTGCAAAGGCGGGCCGCAGGTGGCTAGCATATTGCTGGCTCCAGTAACATTCTACTTGCTAGTAGTTGACATCTTGTGCTGTTAGGCGAATGTCTAACACGACCCTGCATTACTGTATAGTCATGCTGGCATCAATAACTGAACAATAGTGTCTGCAATGCATTGCTGCATTGCAAGCAATATTATTAATGTCTTGGGCAGATACACGTAAATGTACGTGTGATTAAATTAAAAATTAAAATAAATTTACGGCTCGCGTGAGACTCGGCTGGAAGCCGAGTTTTCCGCATCCGCCGTGGGAACGCCACCACCCTCTAGGATCAAAGGCGCAGATGCAGCGGATGCAGCAGGCAGGCATAGTGGGAAGGTCTAAGACCATGATTGAGAAACAGAGGGCACCAGGTTCAAGTCCTGCTTGGAAGCGGAAGGAATTTTTCCAGCCGTGCTGCGACCCACAGTACGTGTGATCGGCGTAGGCTACACGTGTGAGGGCCGTTTTGTACGTGTACGTGCACAAGTGAACTGTAGTACAGCGACTCAGCCTGACACGGGGTGATCATTACAGTGTTGCACCGACAGTATAGTGTAATTGCGGAACAAAGCTATTTTCGTTTGCAGCTCTAAGACTAAGAGAGCTAAACAGGTAGTAGTCGCATAATTTATGTTCTGTGGCTGTGGCCTTAGCCACGTTTACCCTGGGCTCCGAGGCTTTGTGCGCCTTTCTAAGGACCCATCACCCCTTGTACGCATACAGTACAACCTGTAACTAAAGGCCACCGTGACTAGCGACCAGCCTAGCACTACAGACCACTTTGCCGGGCATGGGCGGTCTCACATTATGGTTGTGCGGTGCAAACCTCTAACTAAGGACCACCTGCCGCTAAAGACCGCTTTCTGTGGGCCCAAAGGGTGGTCGTTAGTCACAGGTTTTACTGTACATAATTGTATGTCGTGTTGGTGTGCTGCACGTGACCAAGCGTGTGTAACTCCTTCGCCCCTTCCCATTGGGCGATGTAAGCCCGCAGTTGGGTGTAACTATTACACACCCTCAGATTGATTGGGGATATGTTCTCTTTGATGTGTCAATCTTGGGAACTGTCGATCGAAATGCAGTTGCTAACGTTACGGTCGACCAACAATACTTATTGTCTTTATCATTTTGCGATAGGGATAGTTACATGTACATGTATGTGTGGCTTCCGGAACAGGTCACGTAAGTCCTAACTCCCATTGGCATGTCTAGACAATAACCCCTCTTTGTAGTGTCACGTGGCCGCTACATGCACATGTACAGGTACGTATATTGTAGCTTCATACTCATAGGAAACGATGTGCCTGAACTGTGTCACAAGCACATGCACGCACAGTGTGGCTTCATAGGAAGAGATGAACTGTGTGCATCGTGACTGAAATGATTCAGTAGACGTAGTTAATGGCATTGGACTTGTTGGCTTGAATGGTGCTCCATAGCCTAGGCAGTATCACTCATTCTCTAGTATAAACCTAAGTACATGGTTGATACATGAGCTGAACAATGCCTCCAAATCTGCGTAGTCAAGTGACTCTGGTGGTTTTAGTGTCGTGGGCATAAAATGTAAAGGATACGGTTCACGGGCGATACTGTTAAGGCTATTCTTGCCAGCCGACAGGTTCATGCAGGAAATGTAGTGACCCGATCTGCGGCGGAGCATTCTGCTGTTCCCTACTACACGCATCTCCATTGTCCCTTTTCCTTTTGGACTTCGTCGATCTGTTTGGCATTATATCGCCATATGGTCGGGTAATTGCAGCCGCATTGAGTAGCAGAATACCGCAGTATCCAAAGTCGAAGCCTCCATTGTTCAGTTGTGGTATATTGGACAATTCAAGAAATATGTTGGTCATTGTTAGGTAGTCAAAGACATATCGTGTAGTTTCAATCATCCGCGAGCTTCTATCACGCAGCAAACCTGACACTGAATCTGATGCATAGCATAACCTTGACGAATTATTTGAAACCGGGAAAATGCAACTGACGTAAGTGACGAATCTACTTCAAAGTAAAGAAGTCGGCGTTACGTGCAGATATTCATCTTGCCATGCATTGCAAAAGAAAGCATAGCAGACATCAACCACATTAACCACTCATTATATTTCAACACCCCGCAACTGATAGAACGCTATCAAAAAGACTAGATTACTTTTTTGAAGGACATATACCGGTACATACATTCGATTGAATGCAATCTGGAGGATACACTCTAAGGACTTGCAAACCCCTTTTACATTGTGTTTCATGACAGCGTGGCAAGTGTCCGTCACGTGGACGAATTTGCCCGGCGGGTGTGTAGATGATCCGATCCGATGGAGACGATGATTGAGATCAATACAGGAGTTCTCTGCTTTGCTGCCACTGTAGCAGAGCAGAACACTGAATGCTGATGAGTGGCTAGTAGTACTAGTATTCGACTTCATTCGTCAGTGTTGGCTATCTGGAAGGAGGCCTTTGGGCTATCCACACCTGCACCAGAGATGTCTGATTCATGAAATCGCCAAGATGTGGATCATGGCTACTCGACCCGTCCGAGTTGTGCGCACCACAGGTATATGCAGGTACATGTAGATTGGCTGTTCGTTTATCTCGCTCTGCGCAAAATTAGAAGGCGGGTGTGGATGGAAGGGTTGGTGGTGGCGATGTTCGCCACTTAACCACATTCTCACTAATTCCTGATCCTGGATGTCGCTTGTTTGGTTCGAAATTCGAATGCACCAAATCCAGCTAGAACGAGCCTTTACAATTAGTCATGACACCCTCAGCGAAGCGAGTGATGGTGACCATCCAGAGCGACTGTATCAGGTCAAAGGTGCGTTTCCGACAGCTGTCTGCAATCAGGTGAATCAATGGCTGTGACTTTACTAGCGATGTACACCGTACTGGTACTCGAATGTCGAGTTTAGCATCCGGTGGCAGATCGGGCCAATAAACGGCATGCTTATCTGGATAGTCTAAATTAGACTACAATGCCTAGACGTTATACCAGTAGTGCTTCACTACAAGTACAACGTCACACACTTGCCGTGAACTCTTGTCTACATACATCTACATCTACACGTAGAGACATCCAAAAATAGGCTCTTTTGACTGGCACTGAGTGATGGCAGTTTTAGTGCTGTCTTTTTTCGCACTAATTTTAGGGGAACTAGGAACCGTGTCTGCTGCTATAAACTAAGTTGTCACTCACTTAGTGGTATCTTATCGGATCGAATCAACTCAGCACACGCCATGGACCTTGACCTCACTGCTTCCTGCCTTTAGTTTACGGAGTAGAGTCTACGACACGGGGCACGTCGTTATCTCACATTAATAATTTTGGTTTACTAGCAGCACGACATTTAGCGCGCTAGTTGAGAGCCATAATGTGACACAGGCTGCGGGGGGTTTACCTGGAGTCTACCCCGATTGTGGTGTGCAATGTCACGGAGAAAGTAGGCGTTCGAAAATACTGCGACAAGCTGCAATCGTGCCCAAGTGCGTGTGACCGTCGGCTAGATTGGACTGGATGTCCGAAATTGAGCACGGCCACTTCATTAACCGACCACGCAAAACGGTCTATGTTATACGTTAAATATGAGTGTTTGTATTGACTACCGGTATGGGCTGAGACGATTCAATGAGCAGCAAACCTTCTCCAGCCAGACGTGCCGTCGAAAAGAAGGGATTCTCCGACGCGACGTGTATGATGGCCAAAGATACGAGCGTTCGGGAACAATGTTCACGAGTAAGCCTCATAAGACGAAATCGGAGCAGTGTGTAGCGCTGAGGTTCGTCTAGTATGTGTGATTACGGAATTGAGGTGGTCATTTCGGCGATAATAGAGGAAATGTGTGCTTCTCCCCACGTGTGAGTTGGCGCTTTCCCTACCAACTTCACAATTCTGGGAGTATTTGGGCCGATTTCGTTTCATTATTGTTTTGTGATCGATCAGAAAGACAATTTGAATAGTCAAAATCCTCTCCTAGACTCACCTGTGATCTCCCCAAGGCGGCGTGCAGCAGGATGAGAAACAAGATCTTGGGAAAGTTGTCTGCCTGCCGCCAGACTACCGCCAGCTTCGGGTGGCTTTCCATGATAGCGATGTGGCTTCCGACGCGGGCACAACCGCCACGCCTCGTGGTCCGTTATCCCGTTGTTATGCGGAGTGCACCTAAGCGAGGCGTCTCGGGAGAGAGAGAGAGAGACAAGAAATGTCCTGTTTTGGCAGTAAAGGAGAAAGAGACAAGGTCCTGTTTGGCCCAAGAGCAGGAAGCTCTCACACGACGAAACCTTTGGAGCAAACTACACCACTTATTCTAACGAGCTCGAAATATCTTGTCACGCGCGTTTTTATGAGATGCAACCAGAGACGACTTGCCCTAGCGAAAGACATTCCTTTCTTTTCCTCACTTCCGAACGGCTCCCTTAGCACGATCCGCTAAACAGTGACATGGATGACACCAAAAACGTCGCCTCTGCGGAGGAAGTCAGGCGCACGGGAATCGGGCATGTTCGCCCCTGTAGACGAACGAGCAAGGAAGCGACCAGCGTGAACGATGTGACGAGGTACCAGTCAGAAACGTGAACAAGCGCAGCACTTTACCGTTCATAAACCACACGGCAAGCATATCCTTATCTGCTCATGAACCTCTGCTCTAGTGCTGCAAGTCGTCAGGTGTCATGTAATAATTATGGTTTATTGCAAACACTCGAACATTGATTTCAGCCCTGGAACTACTTGGAAGCATGCTCCAACTAAGTGCTCTTGATAAATTCTATTCAATAGTAATACAGCTGAGCACATCCTCCACCATGATTCCGTCCACGCAAACGCTCCAACGCACGACCGGTGGATGACTGTGCCTGGCTGGAATCCTGCGCGCAGTGCTGGTCTTCAGATTAGATTGGTGTCATTGGAAACGCAGATGAGTGGGGCTAGTTCACTCTGAAGTTGGTTTGAAGAGAGCTGCACTGCCCGCAGCTTGGGACCAGCAGGCCCATGGCACGTTCCCACGCAGACCTGTCTTCCTCAGCTTGTCTCCACCGTCTCTCGACCCGTGTCACAGGCCTCACGGGCAGCCTGAATCTCGCAATTGGTCGAGAGTGCGCCGCAAGCTCAGGATGCGCTTCACGGACCTCAGGGCTTGGCCGTAGGCCCGGCTAGACCACACCTTCAATGAGTCCTTCCACAATGAGGATGATTACAAAGACGTCGTGTAAATGCACCGGGATTATTGCCAATTCGTTCCCCTCAACCTCCAACCTGTTATACTCCAGCAGTCCTGGGCAACACCACGCATCCAGGAGGGCATCATCAGTGCTTTTATGATGTCCTCCTGGTTGAAATTAGGAAATACTAGTAATCGCTTACAATCCTAGGACTGGTTTGAAGGGTTTGAGGTTAGTGGAAAGATGAAAAGGCTACATTGGGGCTTCAAATCTCTCCAAATATGATTGTCCTGAGTTCATTCTGAGATTTATAAACTCTCTCTCTCTCTCTCTATCTATTTATCTATCTATCTATCTATCTATCTCTATCAATCTCTCTCCCTCTATCAATCTCTCTCTTTCTCTCTCTCTCTCTCTCTCTCTCTCTCTCTCTCTCTCTCTCTCTCTCTCTCTCGCTCTCTCTCTCTCTCTCTCTCTCTCTCTCTCTCTCTCTCTCTCTCGCTCTCGCTCTCTCTCCCTCCCTCCGCCAGAACAACAGAATGAGAGGGACTAGAAGTAGAAATCATGGTGTACAGTGCAAGTGTGATCATTCCTAAATGATAAAAATACATACTTCTACTACTACTACTACTACTACTACTACTACTACTACTACTACTACTACTACTACTACTACTACTACTACTACTACTACTACTACTACTACTACTACTACTACTACTAGTACTACTACTACTACTACTACTACTACTACTAGTACACTGTATCCTGGTAGTGTGAGGAAGTCATGGACAAGCATGACGCGGCAACAAGACTACATCATACAATGTTATGTACGTCATGTACCAGCACACGTGACGTTCTTCACCGGCCATGCATGCGCGACTCCGAAGAGATGTGCTAGCAGTAGCAGTCATATCTCAGTACCGTGGTGTAGCCTGTACGGCTGTAGGTGCTGCAATAGAAAGCGATATGCATGCGCCCATCATTGTTGCACTAACACCACCACACGGTGATAGTCCTCATCACCGATCGCTGCTGAAGACTGAAGTGGCCCCAGCTGTCTTTTCCCTTTGGAATGGCTGATGAAAAATGTGCCAAGCTGCCAGGTCTTTGTCGGATCCAGGGCTACTTCACCGTGTTCAGCTACCTACTTGGGATTGCACAACGGGGCAGCTGCTCCTTCCTGTAAACCCATTGTCACTAATCACATTTGCAGATCGTGATTTTCTACATCTTGTCCTTCTCACTCTCTTGTTGTGGTGGGGAGAGAGAGTGAGAGGAGAGATGGAGAATGGCAATCGACAACCTGCAAAGGACGTCATCCTCTCAGTAGCCCGCCTGTACTGTGTGTACGCCAAAGAAGCACGCTGAGCACTATTTCCGTCAGTGAGTTTCGTGAAGGGTGTCTGCGGGCCCTGCCTGAAGACAAATATTCCAGAGGACTTCGAGGTTTTCACAGTTGGCGATTTTCAGCAGAAGCGCCCGCGCCACTTCGGAATTTCGTGCACTGCACAGCTGAGATTACGGCTCAGCAGGGATCCGTGCCTTACCGTTTCGGGGGGGGGGGGGGGGGGGAAGCATTTTGAAGTATCTAGGAGCGAGAGTTTTCTCAGTAGGGTAGATTCTACTTGCTATGCCTTCTCCGGAGAAGTGTCTGAAGTATCTGGGAGCGAGAGTTTTTTGGTCAAGGTTTGACTGCATACAGGTTAACGTTCATGTGCTGCTGCGACTAGGCATTGGCGGATAATGCTCGAAAAGCAGTGAAATTGGCGGAACCATACAAACCTTATGGCTGGCAATTCCTCGAATTCTGCTCCATTTCTTTATCCACATACCAAACATGCATGAAACTTACCAGAAAAAGTCGAATTCTGCCAATTTTCTGCCGGCATTATCCGCATATGCCTTACTGCGACAAAAGTCAGAGCTAGCGATGCACTTCTGCAGTGAAGGCGTGCACGTGGAAGAAACGTTCGAGGACGACTCGACCCACATACCGGTGCACGCTAAGGATAGGCTATTGATAGAAATGTTATTCGATTACGTCATCATTCGACGTGTTTTGTACACGAAATATCGCATCATAGAGGGTGATGTCATTTTCATAAACTAGCGTCTTTTGTAGATCGGTATGAGACAAGTACAGTGAGTATCGTTTATAAAGTGACCGGGTGTAACGATATACCGGCTATAATGATCGAACTCGCCAAAATCAAAATCAAATCACAAAAAATACAGCTAAAATATCACTATACACACTATTATCGGCTATACCGATATATCGCTTATTGTGATGGGCTTCAGGAAGCAAACCATATCAAATGCACAGGAAAATATCGTATATACTGATCAAGAGTGATGATCACAAAACAATTGTTCTTCAAATTTAGTTTATTTCTTCCAAAACTGATCCAGTGTTGCCTGGATGCATCTGGCAGCAGACGTGATTGAGAGAAAATTCTTCCCTGTATGCTGTAAGCAGCCACATGTACACGTGGCTGCTTTTCATGCTTTTTCCAGCATGTACGCATCATTTCATGCACAGTCATGTGCCATGTGTCAGTCATACATGCAAATCGGATATAGTGATGCACCGGATATAGTGATAAATTATCGAAAATCAAAGGGGCACGTTATATCCACTATTTACTGTAGAGGTAGATGTACAAGTGTACATTCTCTTCTGTTTCACTCCTATTCGTATCCACTCCCAGTCTATTCACTTCCCCTGACTGCTCACCTTGTATTTGAAGTTTATCGCATTCCCATTTCAACTAAAGATTATGATTATAATCATTATTATGAGGTGCAGTGGGTTGGCAGTGCTATTTCTAGTCAGTTGGCTCTTTTTCCGCTGTTGACCTCACCCTCTCCTCACTTCAATTAGCTGTCTTGACATGCTACGAGGTGCCGAAACATATTACTCGGCTACACTGTTTTTGTAGAGGCCGAGTTTTCCGCATCCGTAGGAACGCTACCATCCTTCAAGGATCAAGGCGCAGATGCAGCTCCTAAAGCGGTGGGAGGTGCCGAAATACATGTAAATAGAGAAAGAAAGACAAATTCAGCCGCACAGACAGCCATGCCTTACAGTTTGTCATACATATAGTGATGCTTTTGTGGTCAGCCTGTTCGGCCTGCTACTACAAGTCACGCAGGAATAGGTTGTGGGAGAAGTCAAGGACTATTTACATAGAGCCTACGCATAATACAGATGTGTGTGTGTGTGTGTGTGTGTGTGTGTGTGTGTGTGTGTGTGTGTGTGTGTGTGTGTGTGTGTGTGTGTGTGTGTGTGTGTGTGTGTGTGTGTGTGAGTGTGTGAGAGAGAGAGAGAGAGAGAGAGAGAGAGAGAGAGAGAGAGAGAGAGAGAGAGAGAGAGAGAGAGAGAGAGAGAGAGAGAGAGAGAGAGAGAGAGAGAGAGAGACAGTGCGGGGAGAGACAATGCTGCGACAATCACTATACACTACAGGTGCTAGAGGAGGGAGACGGTTTAACTGTAAGAGTCGCTTAGATGAGGGTCGTTTAATGATAGTCGAGTCGTGACCCGCCGCGCTTTCCCAAACATCACATCCGAACCCACATTAATAGGCCTATACGAAATTGGTGTCTCCTTACAGCCAGCTAGTTGTTCACGACTTCCACAACATGTAACACACAAAATGGTTTCTCATCGGGTCCACAGTGAACTCTCGACGACTGCTAAACAGACAGATCCTTTTTAGAGTGGGGCCGAGAGAATATGTTCGACAACCACCGGCGAAAGGCCGAACGCTCCATTAGCCACGTCCATGCATCCTTTCGAATAAATAATAGCGATAGACCTGGATGTACAATTACATGTAAATCCTAATAATTATAATTATTCGGCATGGTCGAATGTTGCGACCGCGATTCATTGAGCGATAGTCCATCGATCCCCTCTCCATGCACCCTGCAGGCAATCTGAAGCTTGCTTGCTACTGAGTTCGGTGACGCAAGGTCAAAGTCGACAGACTCGACACCCACGAACATCCTTGTTTCACATCATAAGTTTCCCGTCATCAAAACGCACGTCGAGTACGAACTTGCCGAAGACAAACTGAAAAGCTCATCGCTACAGTTCCGAAATTGCCCCGAGGCGAAGTGGTGTACTAAAATACGCCAAATCACGCTCGGAACAGCTTGGGGGCCAGAACATCGCCAACACTGCGAAAGGCATATTTGCAAAATTTATGCGCAATCTCCTTGGAACATAGGGATGGCACTCAGGGAGTGGTGACACTTTTAGAAAGCCCAATTAGTTCGGCACTAGATGTTCTCTCTGTTCGCCTCTCGAACGCACTTGCGACGCGTATAAATACCGCCTCACAGCTCGCACAATGAGTTACAAAGAATAGAATTTGGGTAACGATGAACCCCAAGATCCAGTCCACTCTCACCCTTTTCCTAGTTTTCAGATCCTTTGCCGACCTAGAGCATCTCTATCTTTGAATAGTCGGGAGAAGAGCGCGTGGAACGTTTACTACAGTCGCAAACCGTATAGTTACGAGTTTCGTTTCTTGAGATTTGACGGACAAGGCGAGACGAAGAGTTCCGAGCAAATCGACGACCGTAGGTCTCTGTCCAAGATTGACCGGTAAGGTAACAAGCCTATTGAAAGTGTGCAGCTGCATTGTAGACCTACATGATTGTAGATCATTATTCTCGTTTCATGCGATTTCTGAAAGGTGGGTATGCGGGCTCCCCTGGTGTTTGTCCGTCCTTCGACTAGGTCGGCGTCTTTTCTATTTTTTCATTTCGGCCAGAATCCAGACTGTACTGTATAATTCATCTGGGGGGTTGAGGCGTGAGGAAGTTGTCATACAGCGGTATGAGGCCGCCTTGTGGCACGGGGAGTACAACTCGCTCCACTCTACCTCTCCAGACTGACGATGACACATACCGGTGGCTTGAATTCGTATTCATGGTTGGCAGTGTACGATGGAGTAATGCAGTTAGTTGATCGTGACAACCAAACTGGGTGGATATTGTCATGAAAGGTTCTGCTTTCCGCTCCACTGGGATACATGTGCCGGAAAGCAACTAATTCTTGTAAACACAAGAGAGAGATTGGAAGCTTTGTTGCAACTCTGAGTTTCAAGTATTACTACGATCATCAGGTTGCCTGATGATCGTAGTAATACGTGAAACTCAGAGTTGTAACAAAGCCTCCAATATCTCTCTCTTGTGTACAAGGCTCTGCCCTACATGGATATTTTTTATTTTTTATTTATTTTTATTGAAAAACCACAAACCTTCAGACATGTGAACGTGCAGATGATATAACGTGTACATACGTATGTATCGAGAAGGCAGCACAGAAACGGCAGTGGTGGTGAGGCCTGGGCAGCTCGTCCGACCGTGGTTCTCGGAGTCAACACTGGGCAGACGCACGTATTGAGCACTCTTCGGACAGTGAAGCACACCACTTGACTAATTCTTGTAAACATGCAACTTTCCTGAATCCTGGAAAAACTCCAAAGCGCTAGTGCCAAAGCCATTGTCCGTCTTAGTAACACCTTGGTTGTTTTTTCTCCTCTTCGTTTATCAATCAAATATTCCCTGCTCGCATTCGCTGGCTTGTAATTGGGCTTGTAATCTGTTTGTACTTGCGAATTCAAATAAAAAGAATATGAAAATACAAAATGAGGTTGACCCAGGACATCTAACCGAAGTGGTGTCGGCACGGAAGTACCCTTTTCATGGTTGCAGATCAACCCGCTGTGCCAGGCTGGGGTGTCAGTCAGGCTTGCTGTTCACCAGAAGAGGATCTCAGTCATTGCTCTGTGTGGACATTGCCTTCATTGGCGCAGCAGCAGACAGGACTGGGTGAACTGAGGACCTGTCATCTACTTACTACGTAAAGATGCTCTACATTTCCTGGATCGTCACAGCTAGGACCCAAAAAGGAGAGGCAGCTAACAGTACGCAGCCATGTGTATTGTGCTCCTGTGTCGAGTATCTTGCGGTCCCCAAACTGGCTGTTCTAAAAGTGAAGTTCCCTGATCTGTGGGGTGCCAAGGGGATGCTGTCAGTGCCTGGCATAACAGTGCTCAGCATGTTCAATGAGCACTGTTTTGACGTGTACTTATTTGGACTGACTTTCCGTGATAAACTAGTAGATGTTCCCAGAGGCCACACTCTGAGCGTTAAAATAGCCTCATCTCCCTATCCATGAAGGACACGAGTACTCTGCTAAGAATGTGTGTTCCGCACACGTGCATGTGACTTTAATAATGTTGATTACGCGTGACAGGCTAAGAGTTTCTATCGATATTTGGCCTCAGAGGATGGCCGCTAAGATCACGATAACAAGATTCATGCATTTGGGAATCCTGCTCGTATGTTAAATTCAGCTCAGATCTTGCGTATCTGCTCCGCTGGCAGTGATCCCATTCGTCCAGTTGTGTCTAATCCTACAAACAAAGTCACAAAGGAGGTTTACAGAGCTCGTAGCAACTCCGAGTTTCGTGCACAATGCAAACATCAGGCGACTTAGAGTGCTCCATGTTACTGTGTTGAAATACACAGTGGCATAGCATGGTGTATGTGTGCCAATGAGGCACAATGACAAGGAAAATTGACTTGCCCACTGTGCAGTAAACAGCTAGACAAACAAGAATCATGAAGTTGGACAGTACACTAGAAGTTCAGAGACCTTTAACAGGTGTCATTGTGTTAGCGTCTGGAGTAACACTAATAGAGTTTGTCCCAAGCGGACACAGGTCATAGATGCACAGGAGTGAATACCTTTCATCGTGATTGACTCACGACTAAAAAAGGTTTGTGTGCACATTGAATATGTCTCACCGACTATGACAACTTTGACTATCATGTATACGTAGAGGTTTTCTTAGACTTTCCATCCCCAGTAGCATGGTACTAACAGAAGGCCTAAAGTCAAGCCAGGGGGGGGGGGGGGGACAAGACCACAAGAAGAATGTCATGGAATTGGTACCTCTGCCATTGGGGAGGCCGAAGGCTCTGGAGAACTCTCCCTGTCTCTTTGCACTATGAGTCTGACAGTCTTAGGATCCCCCCACTGTACCCAAGGGTGCTCATCAGGAGAGGTGCTAATGAAGTGAACACTTAGTCACTGATGGCTACCTATGACAGGTGCACCCAAGTACGCCCAAGTGCCTCTACAAGTCATAGGAAATAGCATCTCTGCTGCAAAGTGGACAATTTCAAGACGTAGCACAAGTTCAGCTGAAGCACCATGTTGCTCTTGTTTGCTTTCCCCGGCACTACTGCCACTAGACTGAAGCAGTGGAAGGTTTTGAAGCAAGTGTGATCAGGGGGGTAACCTCATCACCCCCACCCTAGCCGCCTAGATGACAGTCTACCTTGTTGGATCATTCCATCTTAGACTCCAACATCACTTGTCTCTTGTGAGTATGGTCACAATGTCAGGTCAGGGAGGGGGGGGGGCACTCTATAAATACAAACCTTATCCCACTTCATTCCACACACTCATATGTTCCCTGGCGTTATGATGGAAAGGAGCATATTTCATGGAGAATAATACTGTTTCTGACAGCCTGTCTTGAAACGTTTCTGCACATTCTCCTTTCAGATCAAGAGAGGGAACATAGGATTATCCCTTGTGGCACAGGCGAATGGTGAAGCAGCATTATTAGAAAGCCAGGAGTGACACTGCGGGACTCCATTCCCAACATGGAGCATAACCGGGGGTCTCTGCACGTCGCGATTTCTTCACTACTGCTATGGATAGTGAGCGCCGCCGTAAGTCAATTTGGCTGTTTGCTGCTATTTGGTACATATACAATGAATTTACAGGGGCGTCAGAACCGGTGCGGCAGATGTGGCCAAAGCCGCACCAATATTTTAAAAAAATTGATTTCAGAAGCAATGAAATATGGGCTATTTGGGCACAATTTTATATTTTCCCGCGGGAGGGCCCCGGACCCTTTTCATAGCCGCACCATTATAATACCTTCTGACGCCCCTGAGATACAGTGAAAAACTTCAGTAAAATGCACTCTGGCAAGGAGCATTCTACGGAACACACAAGTCAGAAATGGAGCAAGGTTTTCATTTTGCTGTCATCCTGAGTTTCTTGGCCATTCACCAATCTTCAGACCGCAATCAACACACTAGTGATATGTTTTGAGTTTTACACTCTCGAGGGTTATAGGAGAGGAGTGTGAAAAACAGGTGCCGTTAAAACATTTTTTGCTGCACATTACATGTTAGCTGTTGATCAGCCTATATGCATTACATCAAGGGAAATCTGCACCTACAATACACTTCACCCATGAGATATTCGGCCGAAAACATTTGAAACGTGGTGCCGCCCTGTTCCACTATCTGTGGAATGCATCACGGATTGTGAATGTTCTACACTATCTAGGATAATGGGCAGGAGTGGGCAATGCACCACTGGGCCTATGAGCGCTGGGCTCTATAAAATGAATGTTTAGCTTCCTGAAAATATCCTGGTGGAGTAAAATCTAGCCTGTTTTGGCAGTGCAAAGGGGAAACTGAAAGCAGTCACCCAGAGCCAGTGGTACTGGTGACGGCTGCTTTGAGAATTGCTTTGGGGTTTGTGATGGATGTTGTGAGAGACCAGGGAAGTTAGGTGTCGGTGCCGCCCCTGCTCAGTAGTTATCACGTTTGTCCTAGCTTTCAGTATCATTGTCTTTCTTCATTATTTTTGAGCTGGGAATGTGAACAGAGTAAATGGGAAAAACAAATAAAAAAAGGTTGCTGACAACTGCATGATGATGATAGTAAATATATACCGTATTTCCCCGGTTATAAGTCGCACTCAATTATAAGTCGCACCCCCATTTTCCGGTTTGAGCAATATTGTTGTGGTATATTCACTTCAGTAGTAAGGCATGCTCGATTGTAAGTCGCACCCCCTTTTTTACCCTTGATTTTTAGTGTACAAAGGTGCGACTTATAATCGGGGAAATACTGTACCCCCATTATACACGCTTGGTTTGGATGTATTGTGCCCGTTCTGTTTGCTTGTTCATTGCTCTCCATGTCGTCCCCATGCCGTCAACGCGTATTGCCACAGAATGGTAAGGGTTTGCCATTGCTTTTCTAATTGCACAACACTCCTGCACTACCATGGTGTCATGTGATCATGAGGGTCAGGCTAAAAACATCCTGAATACAATGTTATGTAATGTTACATTTTTTTCCACTTCACCATAGGTACAGGTATTGCTGCCTTCTTGCTGCAGATCATGAATGATGCCACAGCTCCTAGGCTATGATGAAAAAATAAATAATTGTATAGAATGGTTTCACGTCTTTGTCAAGTGATTGCATTTGTGAAGAAACGTTTTCACGTGAGAGTGAAACCGACTTATCGGACCTCATGTGACCCCTGGATGCAGGGTTGAGTGGAACTGGAAAGTTGGAACCAACGACTCTCCTGGATAGTCATGGCACAGATGTACAATAGCTCTTTTGGATCATTCATTTGTCGTAAAAGTTGAAACAAGGAACCTGAATCGGAAAATTTCATGATGATCATGAATTTTACTCGAATCCAGGGCAGAATTTCAAAAGTGTAGCAATGTTGATGAATGTTTCAGGAAAACCTGATGCCACTCCGTGAAAATTACTGCTGAGGTATTTTGAATGAGGGGATGTGACACACTGGATTGACGATCCATATACCATAATGTCGCGTATTAAAGCCTGGCCTATTCCTGTGGAAGCCGATGTCAGGACTGGGCTTGTAGTTATATCCGGCTTCTATTCAAACCAGGTATTTCTATGTATGTGTCAACACTCAAACCGGGCTCATGTGCTGACAGTGTATCTTGAAAATCATTCTTCTATTCCAAACAGGCTTCTATACTTTATGAGATAGGCTTCATTGCAACACACTACGGTCAAACATACAGTGATGTCATTCACATCGCCGATGATGTCATTCACAACGTCGATGATGTCATTCACAACGCCGATGATGTCACTCACGCATCACCTGTCATTCCAGCATACTACCGTCACATGTATTATCGTTTCATGTGATTGTCTCCCCACGCATGCACAGGTCAGAACATCGAGGGTGGCTGCAGGCAGTTGCCCAGGCCAGCCAACGGCCGAGTCGACTACACTAGTGAGCTGTTCCTGGGAGCCAGGGCAAGCCGGGCGACCATTCACTGTGACCCCGGCACGGCGCTGGAAGGCAGGGGAGAAACGATCTGCGTCCAGGGATCTTGGATACTCGATCTGAACGGCCAATGCAGTAAGAGTACTTTAGTTTCAGTATAAAATACCCTGGATATAACGTGTACTGTACCTGGATACGCCATACCCTGGATATTCCATACCCTGGATAAATTATACCCTGGATATTCCATACCCTGGATAAATTATACCCTGGATATGCCATACCCTGGATAAATTATACCCTGGATATTCCATACCTGGGATAACATACCCTGGTTGTAACATACTTTTCTCTTTGCGTACTTTGATAGATATAGAGCACTTTTAGATTAAGCTACCTATCCTTTTCCAGGCAAGTTCGAGGTGGTAGTTCTTCCTTTCCTTCCCTGTATTCTCATTGTCCCAGGACCTGGCAGTGTTCGCAACAACGTGCCCGTGACTGGGGCACCGTCCATTCAGCGGCTACCCCTGGACGAGTGGGTGACGGTCACGGCAGAGGGATGCCTGTTGTTTGCCTGCACGGTAATGGGATCACCTCCACCCCCGGTGGCTTGGTCGGTCAACGGCGGCAGGATCGACCTCCGGTCCAGCTCGGACCTCCGGCAGATGGATGATGGTTCCCTAAAGGTGAGTGCAGATGTTCTAACTGTTATGTTTCGCGTCACCATGTGTGCGCATGCACGTACCTGCATTACTGCTAGTTAGGCCCCTTCAATATATGTATTTTGCTGTGACAGTGTCCTCCAGGGCTTGTTGCTGGCCAGCATAGGCCTGATGCACATTGTACAGATGCACGGAACCCCGTAGAATCTTGTAGAATGCCGTAGACCCAGTTGGGTGTTCGATGTGCTGGGCCCTATCATGTTGGCTGCTATTTCCAGTAAGAAATTAGCCCCGACTGTTCATATGAAAACCGTTTCCGACAAAGATCTAGTCACTGGTTTAGAGGGAAAGACGGAAACGCGAAAAGTCTGAAGAAAACAATGACTGTCACCACCGGGACTGGAGCCAGGGACTGGAGCCAGGGACTGGAGCCAGGGACTGGAGCCAGGGACTGGAGCCAGGGACTGGAGCCAGGGACTGGAGCCAGGGACTGGAGCCAGGGACCGGAGCCAGGGACTGGAGCCAGGGACTGGAGCCAGGGACTGGAGCCAGGGACCAAAAAAAAGATCCAGCTAGTCATTAGTTCTATCCTAAGCGATTCAGCTGGAAAAGCGATGGTTTGAACTTGATAATGAGGCTATGTTGGTCAAATGTACACGTGCAGCACACAATGAATATCCAACCCGGTTTGTTCACACCTACGGCCCTAGTACAAACCGTTGTACGTCTGTACAACGTGCATAAGGACCATTTCGACAATAGAATGGTTTCACATCGTTGTCATTTGACTATGATTATGTTGTGTAGAAAGTGATCATGGCATGTGAACAGTGGAACCAACATGGTCGACATCATGTGACCATTAGATGCGGGGGTTGAGTGGAGTTGAAACAACATGGCTGTCCTGTGTGGTCATGTGACCCATAGATGCATGGGTTGAGTGAAGTTGGAATCGGGTATGTTCATCACGTGATAGATATGAAACCATTCTATATTCACTCCTCTCTCCACTCCAGGCGTGTAACGTACAACCATCGAGTCACGTGGGCACATACAGATGTGATACTCGGAATCAGCAAGGCAGCGCATACAGGGAAATAAGACTGACCTCAAATCATCCAGGTATGCCTCTGTGTGTGCTTGTGTGTGTGTGTGTGTGTGTGTGTGTGTGTGTGTGTGTGTGTGTGTGTGTGCTTGTGTGTGTGTGTGTGTGTGTGTGTGTGTGTGTGTGTGTGTGTGTGTGTGTGTGTGTGTGTGTGTGTGGTGTGTGTATGTGTGTGCGTGTGTGCATATGTGTGGTACATGGTGTGTGTTTGTGAGTCTGTGTGTGTATATACTGTGTGTGTGTGTGCACATGCATGTGTGCCTGTGTTTCTTTTGACTGAGTGAGTATGAGAGTGGGCGGTTGTATCTACTTGTACTTGTATGTATTCTTCATCCCTTGCCCGAGCCCAATGACTCTATCGCATTTTCACTTCTTCTTCCATATAAACATTATCAATACATGTAGCTTTTCCCATCATTCTTGCATGGTAAATTGGGACTGCAAACATCCAAACTGGGCTTTTTTTTTCTTTTTTTTTTAACACCTTGCAATTTAACTGTTTTTGTTTTCACTTTATTTCATGAACGCAGCAAGTGGGATTTTCGGCGTTTGACCACTTTGCTGGTGCCCTGATGTACTCACCTCCCACCACTTTAGAGAATCCATCTGCGCCTTTGATCCTTGAGGGTGGTGGCGTTCCTATGGACGCAGAAAGCTCAGTCTACCTGAGTGTAACGCAAACGGTGAATGTTTTTCTTACTTTTATTGTTGCTTGCAGTGTGGGCAGAGCTGACGTCAACAAACCGACAACGGCTTCCAGAGTAAGTGATGTCCTGGGTTTGCATCTCACGGGGGCACAGATGGTGTGCTACTAAATCCACGCCAAAACAATGTTGATATGATGAACATGGTTGGTGAGTATACATGTGCAGTAAAACCTGTCAAGGCTATCACTCGGATAAGGCGACCACCTGATCCAGAAGACCACTGAAACCAGGATCAAGGGATGCTATTTCCAGTGAAATGACGCTGGATAAGGAGACCACCTGGTATCAGAGACCACATTTTGAAGGTCCCTTGAGCGGTCGTCTTAGACAGGTTTCATTGTATAAACCTCGTTTCAGCTGCCGGTGACGGCATCAGTTTAACAGTGGTCCTCTCGCGTACTGTTTTCAAACTACAAACATTTTGACCCACCTTGAAATGGAGTTCTTTCTGTGATGTGTATTATCTGGACAGGCAAAACAACCGTGACAGGGTGGAAAACCGGAACGTACCACCGCCAGTAGAGACCAACCAAGCGGACCGGTCTCGCGATCAGAACGTCCCACGCGGCAGCGGTCCGGGCGTGCAGCCGACCATTCGGGTGCGCCCGCTCGGCCAGTGGATCGGGCGCACGCGCGACTGCTGCGTGCGCATCATCTGCGAGGTGAGCGGCGAACCCACGCCCGTCGTGACCTGGAAGCGCAATGGACGCACCCTCAACACGGGATCCTCGACGGGCACATACTCAGTGGAGAGTTCCGGCTCGCTGAAGATCTGCACCAGCAATCACCGAGGGCACTCGGGCACATACCGATGTGAGGCCGCCAACCAACATGGCAGCGCGTATCGTGAAGTCAGTCTTCATGCCTCGCATTCCGGTGAGTCCAGCCCGAGGTCACGTGTCAGGTTCTGTGTAAACAAGCCACTCAGGCTTCCGCTCCGCTCTGCAAGGCATACATCCAGCATACATAGCAGGCCAACAGGGAATCATAGCATGTAGCGCAATTGCAAAGCACTATAGCAGGGCTGCCACTTGCTCCGATTTTTCGGAAATCGTCAGATTTTTGATCGCCTGTTCGACAAACCGACCGATTTTGTTCCCCAAGAGGGACAACCGATTATTTTATTTTGAGCGCTTTTTAGTCCAGTTGGCCATTAATTCATAATTGACATGGTTGTAGTGCGTGTGCGGGACAGTTAAAAATGTGTTCTGGGGCCCCAACAGCAA